CGGCTCCCGAATGATTACAGTCAGATAGAGCAAGTCAAAACAAAACTAGACTCAAGGTCAATATAGGGTTCAATACCGGCTTTCAAATCATGGTTTCACCCTCACTAATAAGGAAAATATTTCTATACTTCTCCTAATAGAAGATCTATGCTTCCCCTACCATCCAACCATCCAATTTTAATCAAAATTCATTCACTGTTTGATCTTAGATCTGACGTCTCAAAAGTATTTTATTTTTAGTTTTTTTAATACAAATTGTATAAATATGAAATTTGGTAGGTGCTTTCTTTTCATTGGGGCGCACCTATAAAAATAGTAAAAATAATGTTTCGAAAAAATGTAATGACCAAAATACCCCTCAAATCTTTCAGGGGTATTTCGGTTATTTTATTTTATTGAAAATATTTTTTTTTATATTTTTTGCTAATACAAGTTTAATAAAGGATTGGATGTACAAAATTTCATCTCAAAAAAGTTTATAGAAAATAATTAAAAATAAAATAGTGTCGAGACATGACATTGTGATTGGAGCAATCATAGCCTTACATTCAGAATGGACGGTTGAATAAGAGGAAGTACAATTTTTTAGAAGTGTGGCTGCATTATAATATGATACAACCGTTGCATGAAATCAACAACCGTTGCATGAAATCATTGCCCTATAAATTTTATATTGTAGGAGAAGCATGGAAAGGTTGCCCAATAATAAATAATAGTTTCCAAGCCACAAAAAGTACAATATTAAATGGAAAAAGATTCAAAAAATAAAAATTTTAAAAAATGTCATATTTCATGGAATTGTGTTGACCGGAGGCTACGAAATAGTGCCTAAAATTGCCCTATCAGAAAGCAGTTTCAATGTCACTTATGATTGGCAAGTAAATCTGTTTCCACCACTAATTGTAAAATTTAAGGCTTTAACTATGGTGTAAATTGAGCGTGTGTATATATATATATATATATAAATATTTGAAAATCTTGAAAATAAATGGTCTTAACAAAATATATTCTTTTAAGACTTGAAATACTTTTATGTTAAGAAGGGTAATTAGTCCAACAATATGGCAAAAGACTCATGCCCATTCTTACTGAGTTAAATGGAGAGCATAACAGTTCAACACACATTTTCAAAGGCTAGGTTTTTTTGTCTAACTTGATTGGGCTTTGTAGTTGCATGTGTAAAAAGAAGGAAATTTGTTTCATGCGGCGGGGTCTACAATTGTGGTCCCCAAGGTATAAAACATCCATCGTAAAAATAGATGCAAATAGGTGATTCATCTTAAAACAATTAAAATTGACGATCTAAATGTTTTCTTAATAGAATTATTTTTTTAATTTTAAAATTTATTTAGTTTTTCATATTCATGATCATTATGCTAAAGATTAAGTGTCCTTAAGAATTACCTCCAAAAATCCATCTCAAAAATAGATTTTTAAAAGCCGACTCATTTCAACATGGACTCGTAGGAACCACGATCGAAAAGAAACTCAACCATTGCTCCAACACTTAAAGCTTCAAGACAAAAGTTTAGCACCCTAAATTTTTTTTCTCTTTTTAAGTTTTATCCTCAATATCCCCCTATACTTCTGTCCTCTTCTCATTAATTTCATCCGCTGTTATTTTCTCTAGTATGACCAAATTTAGTCCTGATAAACATTTCTCCGTTATTTCAATTCATTTTTTTTATAGTTTTGGAAAAATTACAAATAACTCTCAAAACTATACTTTCTATGCAACTTACCCCCAACCTAAATTTATTTTTCATTTTTTTCCCCAAAACACACTTTCTATGTAAATACCCTGCAACAAAAAAAAAAAAGTAAAAAAAAACCTAAACTACCCTCCCTTTCTTTTTACCCTACCCACGACTCTCTCTCCTCATGTTCTATGGGCAGTCTGACAGTGTGCAGCTTTGGTCCGATAGGTCACTATGGTGATCCGGCAATAGAAGTTATTGGATTAAAAAGGGGTCCGGAGATCATAGAGCCACTCCCACAGTTTACATGTACGGTCCGACGATTGGGAAGTTCAGTTTAGTAGATGTTTTCTTGTCAACATGTGGTCCAACTATTGATAAGTTCGGTCTGGTAGAAATGACATGGGTCCGACGGTTTATTGGTGCAGTCTGGCAATGTGCTACTAGGGTCGGTCAATCAATGTTAATATCAGGTCAAAATGCTTTTTTGTGTACAAGAAGGGCATTTTCATCTAAAAAATTAACTTTTTGATTTGGGAAGTATTTGCATAGGAAGTGTTATTTGGAGAAAAAAGTGAGAAAAAATTAGGTTGAAGATAAGTTGCATAGAAAATGTTTTATTGGGTCTATTTTTTTTGTAATTTTCCCTATATTTTTCCACCTAACAAACTAAGTAAGGGACAACAATGAACGCTTAAGACAAACTCCAGAAATTGTCCACTTGACTTGGGTGGAGGTGATTCTCCGCTGTCACCCATCCGATCAAAAATTGGATGGCTAGCATAGATAGTGGGACCCGTAGGCTCATGCTTTGGGGGGTCCAATTTTCAATCCCATGTGTCATATATTTCTGCGAGAGGAAAACATCTAGGTAATCCCTTGTTTTTGTAGGCCAAATTGAATAATCTTGCTCAAAATAATTTGCATTAATTTGCATTAACCAATGGATGTCTTCAAACGTCGATAGCATATTATAATAAAGAATTGCATAAAATAAGATCATTGCTCATGGTGTATAAAGATCAAACACTTAGAATTAGTCGAATACAGAATCGGACAGCTGGGATGTCTCGCGCAAAATTAACGAATTTACTTGTATAGTTACTATAGGAAGTAAAAGGGAATCGATCCTTTCATTGCAGTTGCTGTAAGGCTCCAAACTCGGAATGGAATGACCAAATTATCCAGATCCGTTGTATAGGTTTCTCTAGCCAATAAGATGTCCTCTCCAAGTTAGTTGGGGATAAGGTGATATTCAAAATCATTCCCATAAAAAAATCTCATATTACATGGGGTTGGCATTTATAATAATATTGATAATTTTTCTAAGTTGGGATACCTATCGAGGTCCAACCATATTAGGATTCTTGGTTATATCGCTTGATACTTTAGATACATGTGACATCTATAAGCCGCCTGACATAGGATTTATAATCTTATATACGGAATGAGAAATAAAAGTATATCTATACCCTATCTAGGTCCCTATATATCTATACCCTATAACCTATGGGGAAGTTGGCTTCCTCTAGATAGAGGTAGGGGTCTCCCATATATGAGAGGAGCCTTGGCTCTGATTTGATTGTTGGAAGCCTTAGCTCTATATAAACTTTTTTTCTTACTTATATGATACAGTCATTAGGAGTTATACATTGTTGATTTATATGAAGAAGAAGTTATATAATAAGAAGTTTATGTTTGGTAAAAAATTCGTTAGTACTCTTGAACTGCGAAATGGGAAATCCAATAACTAGGGTTGTACCATTTGTGAAGTCTGAAATCTGCAAAGTCCTTGGACACTTTGCGTAGAGAAATATGATACGCCAACCATGGAGGTTTGCACTTTGCAATTTAGCCAATCATAGTAACAATCAAACCTGAAATGAGGTCGTTGGGGAGACATCATCATTGCGCGCGCCCGTGAAGTTTACAAAAATTTCTCCCGACTCTGTGCAAAAAATTATATGCACCCAGCTGTCGGATATCTCATTTTGGTGTTTGTGTCCTTTCACACAACAACAACATTTCTACACCTCCTGGATTCATGTGCAAATAATGGGGCCCTCTTTTTTATCAAGTTTTAAGACTGATTTTAGACCTAATCTTTTTTTTTCTCTGGAGAAAAATTTAAGAACTAAAAATAATAAATTTTTAGAGAAAATTTTTGACATTGTTATTATTTTTGAAAAAGTAATAAAAATAAAATCGTTTGGGAGGTGGCACACTTTACATACCTCTTAAAAATGGATGTTTGAAGCCTATGGAGGGCGTAAATGTAGATTTGCGTTCCCCCCGTTCATAAACCACTTTTCTTTTTTTTTTTAAAAAAAAAGGGCAAGTCTCATTGCTTAATATCCCTCAGAGTAAAAATATACAATAAAATTACCTATTTTTGGTAAAAAAAAGTCACAATCACTAACACGTGTTTGATTTTACATAAAATCATACAACTAGAATTGCACCACTAACCCCGTAATAGAAAGTTAGAAAATAAAAAAAATGGTGCTGTAGAAAAAAATTACATATTTGGATTGCTAATGTTGAACCCTAGGGCTTAGGGTTGTGAATAAAATGTAAAGGAACTTTATACAGTACAAATAAGTGCACCTCCAAAATCCATTGATTATCTCGACCAGTATGTATGGATATAAAAGAAAAAATGAATTTTAAGTATTAAAAATAGTTCATATTGTAACACATTATCTAGAGGAGAATTGTTTGGTGACATGTTACTATGTGGGCTTAGAGATCGACACCATCCACCAAAGAAAGTGTAGATCTACACCATAAATAAGAGTCCTTCAAAGAAAAAATAAAATCAACTGTTCAAATATTTTCTCTAAAGAATATCATTGCTAATTTTAAATTTTTTTTTTTTTTATAGATTAATAATCTACATGTTAAAGACTATATATTCCATAAAAATTAGGATTAAATTCTATTTAAAAAATAAATTACTATAGCACCCGCATTTCTACACGAGTCCTTAGAAACTGTATCCTTATTTAAAGGGTCTATTGTCAAGATTATAGAGTTTTCACAATCTATTATGAGAACTAAATACACACTATTTTTGGAGTTTTTAATTTTATAATAGGGATTGTATAGACGGTCACAATTCCTTACAATTATTTGATATGAAATTTGATAGTTTGGATGTGCCACGAAGGTCAAGAAAATTTCTTTTGAAGTTTGAGATTGATCAATGGAATAATCGCAACCACCCAACTTCACATCCAATGATCAATATTATCGTGACCATTCCGTACCATAGTCGGCAAGCAAAAAAAAAAAGCATATCAGTCGAGGAAGAAAAGTAATTACTTTTACAATATATACCTAAGCGGTGTATGGCACAGAGTACACCTCTAGTTCATCCAGTCATTTCTAAAGATCTCAGGTGTACATAGACCATACACAACAAGTGCATAGATACTTCTCAGGAAAAAGAAAAGATAAAAAAAACAGCAAGTTTTTCACTTTCCAGCGCGTTCGGGAGAAAGTCCAGGCCCAGGCGTACTACAGTCTTTTCAGACAGGAAGGAGACCCAAATCAGCACCCTCTTCCCTTCTGGCCTGTTGTTTTTTCGCCTTTATTTTATTCCTACGACCTTCTCCATTGTCGCTACTGCTGCGGCCTCATGCTCTCGGTTCAACGAAAACATGGTTTTTCTCCTCACTTTGTTACCTTTTCCTTTTGACCGAATGTTTGGGGCAGCACTACGGTGCCACCTAGAGCGAGAAAGGGAGGAAAAGATAGAAAGACAACCAGAGATGTAGGGTGAGAAAGAAGACAATAAATTACTAGTGAGGGAGAGAATCAGGAATTTGTCGTGGCCTCTTCTGGTATTAGCAGTGTTGGGCCTGAGAAAGCTGAATGTTTTGGGTGCATAAGTCGTTTAGCTTTCGCCTTTTCTGAGGAGGAGCAGGCTGAGGGTACAGCAGTTGATGAAGAGAAATGTTATCTGCAATATTGTGGCTCGCAGAGGTGGTGGTGATCTCTGAGCTACTGCAATTGCTGCTGCAGCAGTGTTGCTGATCCAGTACGCATGCAGGCGTCAGCCTGCTACTTGTAGTAGTAGGCAGAGGAGAAGAATAGGAAGTGATAAGAGTGTTGTTGATGAGATGGTAGCACCTAGCCAGCTTCTCCTGCGGTCATGCAAACACTATCTACGTGAATCAAAGTTGGCTGTAGTTTGTATAGAGCCGAGGCTCTAAATGATCAAATTAAATCTCACCTTCAAATAGCGTCAAGACATATAGTTTTACAGTTTCAATAGTTGTGATATTCTTAAAATATTTTTTTATCTTTAATTATAAAATTTAAAACTTCAAAAATAATGTCAATCCAGCAGATCCATAAAAACTAAAAAATCTTGAAAATTGATAGTTCAAAAATAACTTGAAAACCTTTTTTTTTTTTGTTTTCATACCCGTGCCAATTTGAGAATATATTCGAACATCAAATCAACCTCTTCCAATGAATTTCGAGATAACTAATTTGAGAATATATTTGAACATCGAATCAACCTCTTCCGGAATGAAATTTTTGAGGTGGGCTCTTGGTTAGACTTTAGAGCCTCGGCTCTATAAAAACTTTTTCCGTCAAGGAGCTTCAAGTCCTTTAGTAACCTAACCGTTGGAGAGAGAGACAGAGAGGGGACCGAACCCGCAAAACGATGAGAAGTAAAGACTTAAAAGAGAGAGGAAGACAAGTCCCTGCTCCCCTCAAAACGATGGCAAACTTAATATTGCGTAGAAAGAAAGCAAGAAAACAAAACATTATCGAAATAAGACAGAGGGAGAACCCATGAACACTTGCGTAACTATTGAGAAGAAGATAAATTTAATTTAATTAAATGTGTTGGAAACGTAAAGGGAAAACAGGCTTCCCATAGGTCGCTGGACTGAAAGTGTCAATCATCGTTCGCGGACCGGAGCACGAAATATCCATACGAAATTCGCATTTTCTTTCAATGACTATTAGTCTAATTGGCTGTGACCGAAATATCGGCCAAAACTCTGAAAATTCCGGATCTCGGAAAAGTGACGCAGATGCCCCCAAATTTTGCCCAAATGACTGAGAAATAAAATAAAAAATTCTGACTCCGATTTGAAGTAGAAAGAAAATGTGTAACCATAGTAAAGAATTGACCGGGAAAAACTGCCCCTAAATATTGGTTTTAGAAAGAGGGGCTATTCATGCGTTAATGTTCAAAAAAAAAAAAAAAAAAAAAAAAAAAAAACAAAGGCCCTTATAAGCGCTACAACTGTAAACACAAATATTACTGTTGATATTTAATAAAATAAGGAAAAAACCATCAAATGTGAGGAAAACTGAATAATGAACATGAATTGACAAAAATATCCACGTTCTTTTCATGGATCAGTGGTGTATGGTAATCCACAAATGGCACAAGAGCGTCCGCTGTCCATTTCCAAATCTCTATACACCAGCTGAGTATTGGATACTTTTCGTTTTACGTGATCAAGAAAGGCTCTCTTTTTCCATTGAAGCTGACATTCTAAGCGTAAGATTTTGGAGCTTCAGTCAATTCCATCAAAAAAAATTTGACCCAAAAAAAAGGGTGTTTCTTCTTTCTCATTTTTTGTGTCTTACTTACTTTATTTACATATTCGCAAGCTGAGATTGCTTTCTTTAGGAGGGGAAGCAGGGGTTCTTGTGAAGCACACAGCAAAGCAGCTGCTGCAATAATCGACGGCTTAAACTCCAAGAGATTAATCTCTGAAAAGAATCAACCAAAACGAAATATTATAACACTCATTCACCAAATCGTTGCATTTACTAATCAATCAATAACAGTGGACGAAATCAATGACTCGATGATAGATTAAAGAGAATCACAGTAATGGAGTGTACCTTGTTGAGTTTTAATGATGATCTCCACCGTCCGATTCTTGAGCGCCTCTATGGATGGCCGATCTTCAAGCTTGATAGAAGAAAGGAAGAAGTTAATGAAAGAGAAGGGGGTTACAGAGCGCAAACGCCAGTCAAGAATCCTGAGTATTAAGAGTTCCATCCGTTTGATAGTCTGGGTATCGAACATGAATCTTTCTTCGCTCTGCGACAAAAAAAAACAGAGCTTTATTTAACATTCAAGCCCTATATCTCGAGCTATTCATTGAAAGATCGAATAAAAGAACTTATTTTCCATTTTTTTTCTTTTACCTGAAAATCTGATAAGCAGAATGCAACATTTTTCATCTTAGCAGCAAGAGAGAGACAAGATAGAGAAATGAGCTTTGATATCCACGCTTTTCCTTTCTGTAAGCAGAAATCACCAAATAAACGGAAACATCCTCTCACATCCGTAAAACTTCGGAAAAATCAGGATCTGAAAAAAAATTACCGGCATCTCCTGCCTGGACATGAATCGATCAAGGTAGCTGATGGCAAGATATGGTACAAAAGGATCCAAATTGCACAGAGACTGAGCCTATGTATATTCAGATTGAAACCAGTAAGAGAAAATCAGGATAAAGAAAGACAAGTGGATAGGTAGATGAAGGGAGAGAGAGAGAGAGGTGCTTGCCTTGAGGATGAGAGAGATGGACTCTTGACGAGTTGAAAGTCGCAGGTCTCTGGTTTTATATCTTTCAAAGTAGTTTTGTAAGGGCATATGCTCTGATTCTGAAGCGAAAAGCTCGGAGATACATTCGGGCTGATCTTCAGGTAAGAGGACAGGGAATTCGAGATCGAGATCCATATTCGTGGTGGCTTTCAGTACTACTGGTAAGAGAAGAACGCCATTGAAGAACAAGACGAGCTTTTTAACAATTTTGTTTTTTTTTTTTTCTATCAATTACGACCGGTCTCTCTCTTTCTTTATGCTTTTCTGCTTTGGTCGGGTGTGAAGTAGAATAGACTCAGAGTGTTGATTGATCTTCACACTTCTTCAGCGCTCTTATCTATACAACATTCTCTTTTCCCTCCTCCTCCCTCCCTCCCTCCATCCCTCCTCTCTCTCTCTCTCTCTCTTTCTCTCTCTCTCTAGCCCCTCCTGTCTCCCTCTTAAACCTCTTTTTAGCTGTGTATATATATATATAGTGCTCCCACGGGATAAAGCTATGCACTTACTCCCTCGGCCGAAGAAGCTAGTTAGCAGGCGCGCATATCTTTTCTGAATACTAAATAATAAGGACGACTGTGAAATTTTAAAAAGGGTTTTTAAGGTGCACCTTACTTCTATAGTGCAATTTTGACACCTTTTATAAACTTTTTCCTCATAAGAAATACCAATAACGGTGGTGCAGTTGGCATATGAACGTAGGTGTAGAGGTAAGGTGCTTTTCAAAATTTATTATAATATATAATTTTGATGTAAAATATTATTAGGATTATCTTAAAATCTACTTTTATATCTACTTATAAAATTTTAAAATTTAAAATTTTAAAATTTTAAAATAATTAAATTGAAGTAGATCTATAAATATATGAAAATCTTGAAAATAAACGGTATAGATAATATGTTGTAAAATACACTATTTTTTAGACTTAAAATCTTTTAAATTTTCATAGTCATATATCTCGATGTCAAGATGACCAATCAAAGAGTTTTTCAACATTAAAACTATCTTTTTCGATGGATTTTAGAGGGGCATCTGTAGTTCGTAGCATCCTTATATAAACTTTTTCCCCAAAAACAGTCACTTTTAGTTCTTAAAATGTTAAAATGGAAAATTATAGAATTCAACAAATCATTTCTTAAAATTTTTCTATTGGTTTATCAATATAGCTACAAAAGGGCATGTACATGAGAAGTTTCAATGAAGTTTTATATTTAACGCAATCTACCTGTTTTAACTCCGACCCGAGACGGGTTAAGAAAAAAATTTAAGAAGATGCGTGTACCATACTTGGAAATAAAAAAAGAAGAGCGCCCATAAGGTAAAATGCCCAAACTGGATCCTCAATAGAAATAATCTAAAAGTCAAGGTCAATTGATAACCACTTATGTATAAAACCCGAGGTATTGAGATTGGAGATAACTTGCGTTAAATGCCTTTTCTTTTTTTTTTAAAGGGAAAAGTTTATATAGAGCCTAGGCTCTAAATAATCAAATTAGAGCTTATGTCAAAACATTTATTAGAATAGGTCGTTTTGATGCCTGAATATTATCGAATTAATAATTTCGACATCAAGATGCATGGACATGAGAAAAAAAATGAATTTTAAGTTTTTGAAATAGGGCATCTTGTAACGCATTTTTAGACCGTCAATTTTAAAGATTTTCAAGTTTTCATAGATCTGATTGATCTACATTATTTTTTATGCTTTAAATTTTATAACTAAAGGTGAAAATATGATTTAAGCTATCGCAAAACTCTACATTGAAACCATATTTCTCTACACTATTTGAAGGTAGGGTTAAATTTGATTGTTTAGAACCTCGGCTCTATACATACCGGACATTTTTTAAAAAGCATTAAAAGCAATTACGGGGGGCTATTCTGATATTGTTCGAAATAAAAGGGTATCCACGATGTTTTTGTGTGGTGCATATAAATTATGTACCACGTACGATACGTTTGAAAGGCCAAAAGCGGGTTGTTGTCCCTCCGTACGTGCATTTGGTTGAGAGAGAGAAGAGAGCGGTCTCTTGGCGGAGATCGTACGGAGATAGCGAGATATGGAGGAGTGCCGCTAAATCCACCGCTAAATCCACTTTTCATATGAGGCCCCACCTCTGCTCTCGCTGCTAAAGGGGCTTCCTGCCCTTGAAATGAATCAATCAGTGTGGCCTAGAGAGAGAGAACGTTCCTGGGTGCCCCTCGACCCTCACATAGGGACATGCACCTTATTCCAGGGCCGTGAGAAACTTATAACAAGCCCCTTGTATTAATTACACAACCTTTTTATCCGAGCATATATTTTATATCTATTTGGATTTTTTTCAAATTAAAAATTTTCAAAGGTTCATAAACTAGATGACCATTTTTAAAAGAGAAATTTTAAGTTTTCTTACCCTTAAATCACACTATCAAAAAGGGTGACATTTGAAAAATAAATAAATTTATTGAGGTTTATCTGTGAGTCGAAAAGGTTACATAGTTGGGTTTTATCCGAACGAGTAAATGGACAATATACCCTCATGGAAGGATAAAATCTGTTCGCTTTAATCCTCTTTTAACTTAGATGTAGAGAGGGTATTAAAATTTTACTTTTAAGATATAGTTAGGGATATTTTATGCTTTGAAGATTTGAAAAAGCTAACTATTTCATCTTGAAAAGGGCTAAGTTGATTTGAGAGGAACACATCGCTTTTCTTTCTTCGTTGATGTGAGGTTAGAAGCTCCAAACTACCACTCACATTATAAAAGAAAATAAAGGGAAATCCAGCAAATCACATCTAAAAGTTCAACTAGTTAACAATTTATTAAAGGTGTGATTTGATAAATTTCAAAAATCCATAAGAAATTTGAAACTTGAAATTTGAAATTTGAAGAGAAACATTGACTGTTTAATAGTTGGAAGGATAAAAGTATAGACGAGATGTTTAATTGTTTAGCTGTTAAGAACGTTCGGAAAAATTACCTGAAGTACCAACCCTGAAAATGGCATTTTTTTTTATGCACAATTCAATTTAAGTCGTTGCCATTATCATCATCATAGTCTTATGGGGCACAAATAGATTCAATTGTCTCTGATTTTTATCAAGCGGCAGGCTTGTGCAATCCGTGACACGGACCAAAAACGGGTACGGTGGAGACGGTTGCGCTTGCAGCAGCTATTACTGCTCTTACTATTATCTATCCATGTATTCGCCTATCTTTTTCCTATCCATGTGTATAGGTCTATCTCTATACCTGTACATGTGCTTGTGTTTATTTTGAAAAGAGTGTGGTTTGTATTAGGTTGCAACATTATATAATCAAAATAAGGAGTTTATCATAAGATGTAATTTTGGTGTTGAAATTTTTTTAGAAGGGCTTGATAATCCATTTTCATATCTAATTATGAAATTTTAGATTTTAAAAATAGTTCAAATCAAATAAATCTGTAAACACATAAAAATCTTGAAAATGAACACACGATACACAATCTTTGAGACTCAAAATCCTTTGTTTATGTATTTACATTAGTGTAGGAAAAATGGCACTGTTCAATTTCTAACCAGCCGTTTAGATCGGAACCAGGTTTGGTTTCGGCCGATTTTGGTGAACCAGCCAGGTATTTTAAAAAAATTTAATAAATTTAATAAAATCCCAAAAATAAGGGATTTTGTTTGTAATATATTTTTTAATGTTTTTCATCATTTACAAATATTGAAATTTTTTTTTGGTCATTAATACTTATTTTTACGTTTTTCATTTTTTTTGAAAAATTTAAAAAATACCCCTGGCACAAATTGATTTTTTAAAATCATATTTTTTTTTTATTAATTTTCAACTTCATTAGGAGGTTCTTTGTTAAATAGTGCTTTAAATATATTTTTATATTTTATTATATTTTTTGTATTTTTTAACACTTTTTCAATCGCTCGGGACTTGCCTGGTTAGATCGGTTGAACCGGCAGGTTATAAGTTAGGCCGTTTGAACCACTTTCGGCCCCATATCCTGATAACGGCTCCGATTCGATTTTTTCTACATTGCTTTACATTCATGCATCTAGATATCGAGATGATCAATTAGATTTTTCCAAACTTCAAAGCAATCTTTTTACCATGGATTCTTTCGGTGCACTATAATTCTACACTTCAAAGTTGCATCCTTATGTAATTTTTTCCTTTATAGAAAATGAAATTGGATATTGCATTCTTAAAAAGAAGGTTAGAATGTTTTGGTCGGTTTTCTTTTCTGCATGTGAGAGACAGGTAAGATGTGGCCATTTAGATTTTCTCCTTAAAGAGGAAGGACCACTAGATTGACCATGTGGCTCCAAATATAACCTAAGGAGCTCCAAAGATAACTTGAGAGCTACCGTCTCTCGCTACATTGGGTAGAGTTTCTCTCTCTCTCTACATTGGGTAGGGTGTAAATAAAGATAGTATTTGCCCTGAGAAAGGGGATTAGGTATTTATTTACCAAGTTTCAGTATTAAAAGCTGTAACTAAGGAAGACCTTTTGAAGTTAACACAACCCGTGAGTGCTGCATAGAACACCATGGGAAGTTAATAGAGCCTATCATGGGTCACATGAACCATACCTTCATGACACACATGGTACATTATTCTATTGTAAGTCTCATTAATTGTGTCCATAGTTCCCGCCGATATGACCAACTTTGTGGGCCTCTTTATTAAGTGATATATTGATTGGTACTCTTTCTAGACTCCCTCCATTACTGAACTCCATAATCTTATTAGTTATGTCTAGCTTCCTTGGGGCTCTTTAATGTTTTCCTATAGCCCCAAAGACTAAGGGTGGCAAAGGGCCGGGCCAGTCTTGGCCCTAACTACTAGCCCCGTCCTTGTCCCCATAGGACCTGCCTAGGCTCGGTCTTGTTAGGGCCAAGCTGGGCAGAATTGGTCCGCATTGGATCTAGCCTGGTTCCCAAGTCACTGTTTGTGGCTCAAGCCCTGCCTTTTTCATGGCCAGGCCGGCCCGCCCGGCCCAATACCAGCCCACAAGATCCCACTTTGACATTTGTAATCCTTCATGGATGCATGAGGAGAGAGAGAGAGAGGGAGGGAAAATACACATGTGAATGTAAGTATTCATGTATGTATGTTCCCAAAAGCATGCATGCATGAACTCACATATTGCTCCTAATATATATATGTATATATGCTATATATTTTGTGGTAATGTCACAAGGATGACAGCTGGTTGAAATGTCGTTCACTAAAGTAAAGGTCCATATTAAAAGTTAGTGATCATTTAATTATGATGCATACCATCAACCTGCGGTTTACTTCCAAGGAAAATCTACGGAGAACATTTATTTGTTCAATATTTATCGTTCCATGCCAAAATTTGTAAAAAAATATACGGCGTGTGGCACCTGGGAATGGAAAGTTGGCTTAGGGTTATGCATGTTTCACCTAGCTA